GAAATCTTACTATTTGTGGCATGGATGGACCTAGAGGGTACTATGCTAAATGAAATGTTAGTTGGGGAAAAACAAATACCATATGATTTCACTTATATGTGGAATCTAAAGAACAATATAAATGAACAAACAACACAGAAGCAAACTCATGGTTGCCACAGGGGAAGGGGCCTGGGTGAAAAAATGTGAACAGACTGAGAAGTACAGATTGGTAGTTACAAAACATTCCCTATGATGTACTTTATATCCTCATGTAAAGTGCAACATAAGGAACAGAGTCAATAATATTCTAATAACTCTGCATGGTGTCAGATGGGTACTGGAAATATCAGGGGGTCCACTTTGTTGCACACTTGAAATGAATACAAAATATAAACTGTAAGTGAAAAATTAAAAAAATATATGTGAGAGGCAAAATGTTACCAACCGGTGACTATAGATGAAGTATTCATTGTATTATTCTTTCAATTTGTATCTGTAGGTGAACATTTTCTAAATATAAACCTTTGTGGAGGGGAAGTTTCCACCTTTGTAGAAATAATAGGATAAAAGCATAAGTGAGACTTGAGGGGTATGGCAGATAAATACATGTGTAGATCTTGTTTGGCTTTTGATTCAAACCAGCCCACCATAGGAATACGTTTATGAGGCAATCAGGGAAGTTTGAATACTGAAAGGATATTTGGCGAAATGAAATATGAAGCTGGTGAGATTAGATTCACCATCTGATAACTACAGAAGCTGGGCTGTGGGGTACATGGGGAATGCTTGTATTATCCTGTCTACTTTTGCATGTATGAAAATTTCCATAATGAAAAGTTAGGGGGTACAACTTCAAATTACACACTAACATTGTACTTTGTGTATTTCCATGGTTTTCTATTATGGGATAAAAGATTACACAGAAGAATGATAAGTTGTGAAATCAAGGGTGGTACCTGAGTTTGTCCCTACGAGCTCAGTGATTTTAATTGAATTTGGTTGGGAGCCTGGGAGGTGAAGATTTTGTGGAAGTACTGTGATTGTCTTTCCTTTTCTCCCCTTTTGTTGTATTTTCATTCTTTCAATTTCCACCATGCACGAGGTGTCTGACCACCATAAAGAAAAGCTAGAGCTGGGGCATGTCCTTACCACTTCTAAAGCCCATGGAAGGCTATTTATTGCTTCTATTCAAGTCTGAGAATCTCAAGATGGCCTGTTTAATTAGGTCTGTATTAGCTAGGAGAACTTCTATTGTCCTGAACATTCAAGATGCTATGGGGGCTGCCCATGCTAACTGAACATTCGGGTGAGGACAGAACATGGTTTTGAAGGAATGATCATTCAGAAAGATCACCCCACCCCCAATTCCATAGTTGTACAGGAGTTGCATGTCGGGTCTAGTCGGGCATGCCTTAGGAAACGGTCAGCAAGTGGTCCGGTCCCACAGTGGTTCTAAGCAACTTCACTTTTAGTCTCAGGTAAAATTTTGCAATCAGTGAGGACAGTAGTTTCTTTGTTGTGATTTGTTTTTGTTTTCTAGAAGGGTACAGGACTCAAATACAATGTGAATTGGACACTCATGCCTTAAAGCTTTTAAAAGGAAACATCAGAGAGTATTCACTACCAATAGATAATCTAAGCCATAAAGAAAGAGGGAAACACAAGTCAGTAAGATTATGTGTAGGTACAGACATACCCAACTCTGAAAACGGTGAAAAATCAAAACAAGACCCGTGAGGGGCAGATGTAGGAAAACAGATTAAACCAGATTGAGAAGGGCGATTAAATCTGGGACCAAAAAGGAAAATAAGTATCTTGGAACTGATATCTATAGTTGCTTAAGTTAGTACCCAAAAGAATGAAAATGAGTTACACACTATTATTTAACTTCTGAACAGTAGCTTTCATTATATAGACTAGATAATATTCATGAAAATAACTTAGAAACTGTAAAGTGTTCACAAATATAAAATATACACATCTGATAATGACTTCAGTGCTGCCCTCAGACTGTTTCTGTGATGTCTTTGTAATAATTGTGTGCTTAAGAGATTAAAGTTTGGACTTGTGATTTGGGCTTTTTAATTTCAGTACCTTTAAGGTCAAGTAAAAGACATTTATATGGAAACCATGAATTTCTTTCATCAAATCCTCTTTATACTTCTCTTTCATATCACTTCTGATTTATGTGGCAGATTTTAAATGGCCACCTTTCCTACAGCCTTTTCTCCTCTGTCTCCTACACTTCAGTGGGGTCAACAGTGACTTGCTTTGACAAATACATGCAGTGGATGCCTGGCAGCTTCCACTCTTGCCTTCTTTGAATGAGTGACTAGGCCTGGGTGAGCCTGGTGAGGAGGAGAGACCATGTGGCTGACAGTCGGTGGGCAGCCAGCAACCCAGACAGCATGAGGCCTGTGCTACACAAGTGGACTCAGACAAGACCTCAGAACTGCCCAGCTGAGCCCAACCGAAGTGCTGACCCACAGAACAAGTTCATCCCCTTTTCACGCAGACACATTCTAGGATCTGGGGATGACCATCATGTTCCACTTCTATCAACTGCTTTCAGCACCCCCGCTCTGATGTGATCTTTGCTCATCTGACGTTCCTCTGGTTTTCAGGCCTCATGTTGACCTGGCCACTCTTCTCTGCACATTCCAGCTTGCTGACTTCCTCTTTAATTTGTGTAGTACTCAAATTGAAGCATTTTAAATATGATTTGTACTTTTACTGCAGTGTCTTTGTTCTTGTTTTTCCCAACACTTGCTCATAACACATCCTGTAGCAGGAGCTTCCCCCTTAGTTCCTTCCCCCAAAAGCAACATTTTCCTTATCCCTCGAAGTCTCCTCGACAGAGCTTCTCCATTGGAGCTTGTTCCCGACCCTAGGTCCCCATAGGAAGCACGTGCCCAGCTCTTTGTCCTGGGCATTAGGCCAGCGTGCAGGGTCTGGTTCCTTAGTTAGGCTATGAAGTCCTTGGAAAGTGACTTTATTTTTGTACCTTAACACTGCATGGTATGTGGTACATGTCAAGTGCTCAATAAATGTTTGAGCTGGATACTTATGTAATATTATTTGGCTATTAAAATATATTATCTTCTGGACCATTTTCCCCCACAAGGTTATCAAGAGACAGTCACGTTCCTGTTTCAGTCAAGACTTGGGACCATGTCTACTGAATCTTCCTGTCTACCACCACAGCCCATTAAGAAAGATAATTTTTGTTTTGAAATTACTTTTTCAGCTATCAGTGCTGCCTTTAAAAAAATGCTATTGAGTCTCCAAAATTTTTGACAGAGATATTTGTTTAGTATGTGTAGAGTTTATTCATTTTATTTTGGTCTTCCGCCTTTCTCTTCAAGTTTCACTTGGAGTAAGCGCAAGATTGTGCACATCCTGATGTGCTTCAGTGCCCGGCATGTAAAACAGTCTGGTTTGCTAACATGACCTCTTTTGTTATTAATTAAATAGCAGTACTTTGCAGTTGTAAAGTGCCTTACCATTTGCATAGTGTTTTACCATACCTTACCTCATCTGAATGATGCTAGCAGCTCTGTTTAATCTGTGTATTTCCGTTAAGGAAACAGAAGTTTGGAGAGATAGGTCACATGATCGGAAAGGGACCAAGGCAGGACCTGAGAGATGTAGGTGCTCATTAACCACCTGCAGTCCCAGTGCCTCACATTCATTCCATTCTTTCCTGGTAAGAGATGATTCTCCCTGACTGAGAACAAAGGAGAGTTGAATAGCTTTTTCTCTTTGCATTCCCTGCCCTTGTCATTCTTCTCTTTCATTCCTCCAACTTTTAAGTACTTTATCTTTTTATTCTGAGCAGGCTTTGAATTTGTCTTGAAGTTAGAATTAGGCTGGCTATAGGGATAAGGGAAAGAAACACACTCACTGTGTCAGGGGTTGCCCTAGGTGCTTTCCCAGGTTATGAGACCATTGTCATCACCAAGCAAGATGGACGACACTCCCCTTGACTTTCACAGATAAGGAAGAGGGTAACTTGTTACCTAGTACAACAGCCATCTCCTCCAAAAGAGTCTGAATAAGCATTCCAAGTAGAAACATCTCTCTGAAGTTATTTTGTGCAGAACTTGATATGCTTTAAAATTTTTTTTTGCTTTAAAGGCGGTGGGGGAGAGAGTACGATAATTTTATTTTTACATAATATTTTAATATTTAGAGTGAGTTACAGGGGTTTTACAAGACGTGGGGCATGTTGGACCTACCTCTCCTTCTCCCACTGTTTTCAGGTGGTCTCACTGTTAACATGTAAATATGTTACCTAGTAGGGGTAGTACACACACACACTTTTATCTACATTACATACCTGAACAAGAATTAGTCTCTGAGATGGCTCCTTAGAAAGAACAGAGTGTCAGCAGATGGGACCCAGGACAAGTTAAGGGTGAGTCTAAGGGTGAAGAGAAGGGCACTGGGATGTCCCAGGAAACTGGCAGCAGGGGCTGGGGCCCGTCAGAAAGGGCTGTCATCACACGCTCACCTTCCAGTTTCCTCTGGAGTTGGTTCCATTGCCACAGAAGTCAGTGATGGTGACCAGCACTTCTCAGTTCCAAGTGTTGGGCAACCCACACAGTTACCTCTCAGCCCCTACCTGCCTCCTAGTTAGGAGTGATGCCTTCTGGAGATATAAAGCATTTATGTTTTTAAAAAAAATTTTTGTTTATGTATTTAGAGAGGAAGGTAGGGAAAAAGAGGCAGAGAGAACCATGGATCGCTTGCCTTTTGCATGTACCCCAACTGGGGACCAGGTCTGCCACCCAGGCGTGTGCCCTGACGGAAGACACCCAGCAGCCTTTTGCTTTGTGGGATGATGCCCAACCAACTGAGCCACTCCGGCCAGAGCTAAGCATCTCTTTGTAAATTGAATTTCAGCATCTCAGAACTCATGGTCTCTTAACTACAAACTACTAAATATCAGAGACAGAAGGAGATGCTTTTCTATAATGCACAATCGTAAAACAATCTCTTCTTTCCTCACTTTCCAGACAACTGCAACATGACTTCCCCAGGGCCCTGATTTTCAGCACGGACGACTTCTTCTTCAGGGAAGATGGTGCCTATGAGTTCAATCCAGACTTCCTAGAGGAGGCTCATGAATGGAACCAGAAAAGAGGTGACAAATTCCTTTCCAAACTCCTGGGAAATCCCACTGTGCACCTAGATTATAGCTGCTGTATAATGAATGTGTTTTATTGAAGGAGTTTAATCAAAAGTTCTGCCATTTTTCCCCCCAAACAGAACGCCAAACCTCCCTAGATTCCAGGAAAAAGAAAATGATCGATAATGGGTCCTGAAATAGGTGGCATTAACGTTGTGTGATGAGGACATGCTGTAATAAAAATGACAAGATATGGGTACGCTCACCCTTCCGTCTGACTGTTGCGTTTTGTTCACTGTTGTATAACATTGTGTTGCAGCAAGAAAAGCAATGAGGAATGGCATATCCCCCATAATTATTGATAATACCAACCTCCACGCCTGGGAAATGAAGCCTTATGCAGTCATGGTAGGAAGAAGTATCATTCTGAATTTTCAGTTACGGGCATTTTGTGAGAAATTGAAACTTTTGTTCTTTTCTCATTTCCTGATCTTCCACAATTTTACACTTATTAACAGTTCTCTCAGAGCAGGTAAAGAGCTGTTATTTTCGTGTTCCTCTGCTATTCAATGGCTCAAATTTGCTGACATGCTAATACCACCTCAGGGTACAAGTTTTAAATAGCCCTTGGTCAGAATTTTTTAGAGCTTTTCTGTCTCAGTTATTTTCCTGAGGGAAGGTCGGCATGGAGCCCCCACTGAAACCTGCAGAACAGTTGTTGATGATACTAGAGGGCAGCCGTATCGGTGTTGCTGCCTGGGGGCTCCAGGGCAACGTAAGTTTTTCGTTTACAAACAGATGTAAGAGTAACATTGCAACTGTAGTAAGACACCCGCATACAAATATAATCATTCAGTTCTGTATTCTCAGGACAAAAAGAAACAGTAAGATGAATACAACAAAGTGCACATTTCTTTTTAATTTAGAAATGTCTGATCTGTTTTCAGACATGTTTCATCTCTTATGCTAGTGAATTTTCAACTCCTAGTGGGTGCAGGAAGGAGGCAAGATCCAGACAGAGTCAGGGGCAAGAAGACAGCTGAGTATTCTGTTTTCGCCACACGAATACCTTCCAAATATGGCAGCCTATTTTTTAGGTCTCTTTTCACATTTTTGGCAAAATAACTTACATTTGGGTGTGCTTTTCTCTAACTATATTCCCACCAGTTTCACTCTGGCCCAGAGGGTGGGACTTTGGTAAATGTAGGAGGAAATGAACATAAACCTCGTGGTCATTTCAGTTCATGAATCAAAAGTCCACTAGAGAAAGAAATGAACAGTGGGGGGTGGGAGGGTGGGCATGAAGGGGCAAGTTAATTGAGGCACAATGCAATTCCAAGAGCTAGGAGGAAACTGAGTGACTTAGGAAAGTCATGTTTATTTTTATTTTCTGGGCATGGACAATTTTTTCAGCAGCTTGCAGCTACTAATAAGACCCAGAAATCAGACATTTTCCATACATGATACTTGAATCCTTCCCTAAGTAGAAGTGGTCATTTAGAAAATGAAGAGAAAATATTTCTACTTGGCTCTTTTTATTGAACTTTATTATTGAAAGTTCAGTTTGAGATAAAAACATAATAGTCAATTTACGAACGCAATGGATATTTGGGTGTCTATGTGGAAACTCTAATAGTTTTCTAAATTCAGGGAAATGGGCACAGTGCACTGAGCCACGCTGTCCTGTAAAGCAGGGAGAGCTACTTTTGGAGGGAAGAGTGTCAGGGATGGGGGATTACTTTTATTTCATAGCTCTGTTCCTATGGTACTGCCATGTCCTAAACCAAGTCATAAGGAATAGAATAAGGCATTTGGTAGACATAAATCTATGGTAATCATATTAGGGACTTTGAGAACCCACTGAGTTCACTGCTCATTCCTGTGGACAGGATGTTTCAATGTAGTTCAGCTATTTTAAAAAATGTCCAAAACAAAGAACCTTTATAATTTTCCTACACAGTGTATAAAATAGACCAAACTTTATCATTGGGAACCATAATATAACCTGAGAGTTACTAAGTATGGCTACAAACCAACTGTATTTATTAAGATAAAGTGAGGCACTGGCTTACTAGTTAAACAAAAGGAATTTTAGAAAAGATTTGTAGCGAATGTAAATGACAGTATAAACATTCCCATAAGTACATATTATGTGTTCAATGTTTTATGTACTTTTGAAAAATCAGGCACTTGAAAATAACTATGAAGTTATATTCCGAGAACCTGAGACTCGCTGGAAATTCAACGTGCAAGAGTTAGCCAGGTACTTCTTTGTTTTTCTAGCTCCTCACTGTGTGTCCTGCTGTTTTCAGGTATTTCAGACCGAACAAAAGAATCTTTTCAGGCTGGAAATGGACATGGTAGTTTTCAGGCCAGAAATGGTAATTCTTAGAAACTGATAAGTTGGGAATTATGAATGTGAAGACTTTAGTTTTGGGTCAGTTTTCTGACATAATACTAAACAATTTTGGCTTGGACTAGGTCCTTTAAAAGACTACATTTAACATTTGGCTAAAATGCTTCTTCATTAATGGACACATAAAAGTACTTTCTTCTGCATGGGATTGCACGTCAGTAGTGTTTTTGCATTTAGACTAAATATCTTTAGATGTTGAACAGTCTGTGGCTCATTTGTGATCCTGATGCTGCTTCTACTTTATAAAGCAATAAATGTCCAAATAATACTAACTTGTTGATTGAATGCAAGGGTTCTGATGTTAATTATCTCTGTTATTTGATAATGTCAATGATTTAAAGTAACCAGTGAGAACAGGATTTACTTTTTTAGGAATAAGGCTAGTCCATAATAGCTTTTCCAAAGTGGGTTTGAGAACCAAAACCACCTGAACTGGATGTGAAATCGTAGCTCGTGGACCCCTTTCTGTGGTTGAAATCTTCAGGAATTACAGTTTGACCTATGACCCCAGTTGATTCTCATGCCCACGGAATTTAAGATTGTTTAATGAGCATCCAGAAGTATATAGAATTGACTGATGTGAATCGATTGTAAATATACTCATATTCATGCTTAACAGGCAAATCTATAGTAAAAAGATCTCCTGGTGTTGTTTATGTCTTGAAGCACAGAACTGAGATTTGCAGAAACAAAGCACTTCTGATGTGTTAGCTCTCTGCAAGCCTTAGGGTGGCTGGGAGCGTGCAGGGCAGCATGAAACAGCAGTGGAGCGTGAAAGCGTCCTGCGTAACAAGATGTGCTTGTCACAGTTAATCCTGACAATAGAGAGTGCATACCTATGTAATAATACAGGACAAGTGCAATACAAGTAACTCATTTTGCTATGTGGCCTTAACTAAATGTTTGCATGTTTTTCCATGTAGAAGAAACATTCATGGAGTCCCAAGAGAAAAAATACACCGAATGAAAGAACGGTATGAGCACGATGTTACCTTTTACAGTGTGCTTCATGCGGAAAAACCAAGCAGAGTGAGCAGAAGCCAGGACAGGAGCAGCGCATCGCCTCCCAACCGGGCAGGACACTGGAATCCTTACGCGGAGTTTCCAAACCGGAGGGCTCCTGGGGGTTCCGCACACGAGAGCTCCTTTAACAGAAGGGGGGGCAGTCACCACGGGTATTAGAGGCCCGCCTTACAGGCATTCCTAGTTTTCCTAGATCAGTTTTTACTTCGATTTTTGGTATTTAGTCTTTGTTCAGTTTTAGTCAGAGCTCTAATGCCAGTGTAAATAGTTGAACTTGTACGTTTTTATGTAGAAGTCACCACAGTCATCTTCAAGAGGCATTTGTTACAGTGATTCTCTATGCATGGTCTGATGCTGGAAGTTCTGCAGTTAAGTTAAACCAACTCACTCTCCAGGGAAAGAACTACTTTGAAGCTGAACTCTGAGAACATACGTAAGAACGTAATCAATTAGTCACACAGTTTCATAAAATAAAGTGTTTATAGTGTATATAAGCTTCAGTACTACTTTCTCTGAAGTAATCTGTTTTTTTCAGGAATTCATCTCCATCAGGAAAGTTGGAAAGGTGGGAGAAGTGAGAGGCAGGAAAAATTTTAGTGCCATTGATACTTTTTAAATCTGTTTATCCAAAAATGTGAGCTGTGTGGCTGTAATGATGATATTGATTTTCCTTTAGAATGAATATACTAGAAAGTATACATCTAAGGGAATACTGTCCTTCAAAGTGGACACTTTGGGAAATTACTCCTTTATTCTAGTGACATATCATTGTTAAAAATGTCTGTCAAAGCCTTCTTAATACAAGCTACTGAGGAGAACCAGTGTCGTTATTTAAAGTCACTATTTATAGTCTTGTGTTTTAACTACCACTTCACTGAACAGTATTAAACCTAAATAACTTTTGGCTGTTGTGCTAATAGCATCAATAAAAGAAGCCTCCTTTATGAAACATTGATTTTTAATTTGAATCATTAAGCAGTTTAAAAATTTTTCCTTATATATGTAATTAGTTGGCAGCCCCAGTGTTTGGAGTGAAAGGAATTAAGCATCCCAGGATATAGGTCAGAGACAGGTATGTGAAAGTCACGCTCACTATCAGATGAGCAGTCTTGGTGTTTTACATGGCATTGACAATGAAACTCTACCACAACTCTGGAATGTCCCTCTTCTACCAATACTGAATTTGTGAATCCAAATTAAATCTCAACAGGTTGGAATCAGATTAATTTGGTGTGAGACTCTGACAGTTAAGACCATGTAGGGTGTGTGCTTTACTTCCTGTTGGCCAACAGCTTCTTGCTAACGTTTCTGTGAAGTTATTATTTTAAGTGTCATATAATGGTGCTTTTATGGTTATTAAAAATTATACACAGTGTTGCTTTATATGGATTTGTCACTGAATCTAAGCCTTTTTTGTTCTACAATATAAAAAATTTACCTAAATCCCACGGAATACCATACTGAGAACCAATTTTTCTATATCATAAATTTATTTATCTTCTTTAATAAATAGGTTATAAAAGAAAATTAACCTTATTTTTTACTTGCTTACATAATTTTATCTGTGTACTTTAGAAAGACTATTTTACTTTGACATTCATCTGACTATTGAAAGCTACTACATCTTCATTACTACAAGCAATGCATCTGTAATTCTTCAGTATCATTTTAAGAATTGGTATCTTCTTTGAATAACAAAATCTGGCTGATAAAAACTAAAATTTAGTGAATTTGAATAAATCTAAGGTATTATTATAGTTTTGCTAAATTCTGGGTGTCCAAACATGACACAAAATAGCCCTCTAAATAATCATGACAATCCACACAATCCTGCTGTGCAGGCCGAGGTGACCCTGAGGACCCTAGTCAATGTGGTGACTGCAGAATCCACTCAATCGGGAGGACCTGACTTATTTAGGATAGTGGAGGGGGGAAGAGTGTCAGAGAGCCCAAACTGGACTTATTTTCCTTTGATGTCAAAGAAGCCAAAAGGGTCAGAATTCAAGCCCTCCCAATTTATGTCTGGCTCTCTGCTTAAGACATCTAGGCCACTGGGGCTGAGTGACCACTATGGAGACATGGACCCAGGTTACAGATCCAGAGCTTTTACAGAGTTCAGAAGAACAGATTCCAGGTCTATTTGCCCTTTTTTTCCTATATGAAGCCTAAAATACTTGGTATGGAAGCATAAAAATAATTGGCTAAACGCCATCAACTTTATATATACCAGCTAGATGTGAACTAGTTTTTTTCTCCCAACTCCCTGATTTATATAGCTTTACAAACCCTCGACATTGACATCTATTATTTCATGTGTTGGTGTCTGCACCACACACAGAGATGGCACACTTTATATGCACACAGGCTGTCACTGAGTGATGAACAGATAACACAAATGCTTTTTCCATTTATTACTTATGCAGTACACACTGTTGACTTTGTAATCATTAAATTGTCACTTTGTGGGGATAATATCCACATGTCTTCCAGCTTCAGGCTTTGCTCACACAGTTCAGCCCTGTTACTGACAATGTATGAAAAGGAGGCTGTGCGCTAAACTCTCTCTTGTGGGCCAAATACATGGTGACGAGTAATAGGAGGAGGTAATAACAGTTACATTTTTAAAGGATAAAAAAATTACAGTCTTAGAAGCTTTCTGTGCCTGAAACTCAAGTTTTATCCCCTGTTCTAGAATGTATCACCAGGAAAATGACTAACACCTGAAGACCAAATTGTTTTATGAATAAAAATTACTTTAGTAAGATGCGCAAAACAACTTGAAAAGACTAGTGGAACCAACTACTTGTTATATTGATGACTTGTACAGGAGAGAAAATCATGGATCACAGCTACAGAAAGAAACAAACTGCTTCATAAAAGGATTTATCCTTGGCTTTGAAAAGTGTTTATAATTAGATTTGAAAACATATTAACCACTCTGTTGTACCCCTGAAACAGAGAATAATACTGAATGTGAACTGTAATTCAAAAATAAAAATTAAAAAGTATTTATTATATATAAGCTTAAGACACTGAAAGACCTGATCTAAGAGCTTCTCCATGCTATTAGCTCATAGAACTGCTTTTCTCTGACAGGCAGAATCAAGGATGATTTGAAAGATTTTCTAAGCTGCAGTCCAGATCATCATTTTGCTAAGACAAAATTGGCACTATAAAATATGCTTCTGATTTAAAGTATTTGATTTTTAATTGAAATAATTTAATTTCACAGATCACACTGGGATCATAAAAATGAATTAATTACACTGAGGGTTCTAATTTTCTTGTAGTTATGCTCACTTCAAGATGAACAACTGGCCAAAAGAAAAAAACAGGCATATCTTAGCTCAGCTTTTGATCAGGCAGAACTATGGTAGGACCGACTCATGCATTAAGGAAATAGAGGGTTCATAGGGGGTTACCTCTAAAAAAACCCAACCAACCAACCAACCAACCAAAAACCCAACTAAAATAGGAACTAAATTAAAGGGAATGTTATGAGTCAAAATAATTGTACTGAGAAACCTACTTTTATTTAATTAAGGACACAATCTAAAAGAAAAGGGTATGTGTAGTTAATTTGTAAAATACTTGCAGGGAGCAAATACTGTCATAAAGACTTAAAGGAGCCCCAGCTGGTACTGCTCAGTTGGCTGGCCATCATTCCACAAACTGAAATATCACCAGTTCAGTTCCTGCTCAGGGCACATGCCTGGGCTGTGGTTTGGTCCCCAGTCACGGCATGTATGAGAGGTAGTTTCTCTCCCTCCTTCTCCCTCCCTTCCTCTTTCTCTAAATGAAAAAAAAAAAGACTTAAAGGAGACATTTTTCTTGATTAGTTAATAAATATAGTCAGTTTTAAGGTCTACAACTGAAAATAAAGAAGCAGGCAAAGAACTTTCCTATGATATATGAGCACTCAGGTAGAACTGGAACCAATTCTTTTCTCATTTTACAAATATGGATGTACAGTTTGAAACTGCATGTGTGTTACAAACCAGAAAGGTTAAGAGTCAGTAACTAATTTTTGTCATTTTTGATTCTGACGCCTTTGCAGTCTCTTAGCTCTATCTTGCATTGTACTTGTGTCCTGCACGGAGCCTTCCATTCCCCCGGTACCCACAAGGGAATTCTCCTGTTCTCTGACCGCAGAGGTAAAATGGTGCCTTTTCAGTTTGAGATAGTCTCTTGAACAGGTGGGAGCAGTCCTAGTAGGCTCACCCACAGACACAAGCTGGTTTTCTCCTGCTGAACCAGACAAGAGGGCCTGGGTATTTATCAGTGCAAGTTCTTCATCAGATATTGAATCAACTTCCAAAAGAGAAGTGTCATTAAATTTTTTAAGTGGAGTTCTCTGAGGAGAACTCAGTTCTTTTTTCTTTATAGTTGTTTCATATTTGGTGCCACAACTCCGTGGTGGCTGAAATGCCTTCTGTGCAGCTGGAGAAACAAATGTACAAATGGGACTAACAGGTGGAGGTAAAGGTAGTCTACTCAAGAAATCCAAGGCTTGTCTCTTTTTGCAGTTTTTGGGGTCATCAAGTGCCTCTTCCCCTTTACAAGACTTTGAAGTCATTTGGGCTGATACAGGTGTGGGAACAGACTTCCCTTTTGGCTTACAAAGTGATAAAGGACTTTGATAGTTCATCTCACTATTGGGAGAAGACATCTAATAAAAAAAAAAAACAAATGAAAAAGTGGCAAAATATAATTATGTGCTTGTAAAACAAAATCAAATTAGCTTTTCATTAAAAATATTTAAACACACAAATACCACACACATTCTCACTTTCCTAGTGGTTAATAGGGCAGATGATTTCACAAAACATTCATATTATTATTCATATTCCTCCAGAAGGAAACAGTTTAGCAGAAGAGGGTATAAAAATGACATGAAAAGATGAATGAAGACTAACATGGTAAAAGATAAAAAAGGAAGTAAGGGCCATAACTTCTGCTTTAATCTTTTCTCTCTTTTTAGTATTAACATATGAAACAAAGATAAGCATTTTAAAACCATTTTAAGATCACAGACCGTTTGGGTTCTAATACCTACTTTTCTGGCTTTGTGACTTTTGGCAATTGCTTAACCTCTCTATGCCATAGTTCCCTCTTCTGTAAAATGGTGATCATAATTTTTATCTCAGAAAGTTCTTGTGAAGGTAATGAGTTAATATAGATACACTTACCAAGTGTTAGTTACTTAAGAATTATCATTAGCCAATATCATACTTTAGCTTGATTTGCATTTATTATGTTTTAAAGAGTTAAAATCAAACTGAGCTTAAAAACAACCTTAATTATATAGAATAGTTGTCCTAGCACAAAGATACAGGCAAAAAAGTAATTTCTATCACATGTACTTCAAATACTAAAAATGAAAGCATTTGTTTGTAAGATTGCTCCCAGGAGTGTTACATTCTGGCTTCAATAAACAAGATATAATTTCCAGATAAACTATACCTATAAAAGTCATATGATAATTAGTTACACTCTAATTAAATTTAATTACATTTTACCATGTTCAGTAGGTATATACTGTTGCCTTCATATAGAGTTATGAAATTCTTTTAACTTATATTAACTTACCAGAAACTTATTTCCTGTACCAAGGACTGTACAAGCAGCATGAAGGTCTGAAGTACATTCTTTAGTTGGGGTGCACCATTTGGGATCATTTGCATTAAGTATATGCATAAGCTTGTTTTCTGAAGCATTGCAAAATACATCAATATTCTAAGAAAATAAATTGGAAAAGCTGTTTTATAAAATGCAAACCTACACATTCATGTTTCCAGAAAGTGTTTAAAACCAGAACTATAATATTCAGATCAGAACAAAAGAATGAGACACCCCAAATTTGATAGCATCTGTCAAACAACACGCTAATGCAAAAATGCAGAACCACCATCAGTGACTCAGGAGGGCTCAGTGTTGGAGGGGCAGAGAAAGAAAGAGTGTCTACATGCATCATGGAAGAAGAGAGATTAGGAGTCATTCCCAGCCATCAAGTTTAATTAGCAAGGTGTACTGTGATTCTGGATTTGTAGCTGGAAGACTGGGATTCAGGTTCTATCTCTACTTACTACAAATAGCTGTGAATGAATCATCCAACATCTACAGAATAGTCCTTAGGAGTAAAATGAGAGAATGGCCTCATGTCCATTCCAAGGATTAATTGAAACAGATTTTAATTAATACCATTATGTGATATATAAATATATTTAGGCTAAAATGCATATGATGCAAGGGAAATAATTTTAGTATTTTCCTACTTAGGACTACGAAATTCAAAGCAAAGACAGGTATAAGTTGTATAAAATACCAGATATGGAGTTTAAAATGTAAATTTGGAATCTGCATATTATTAACTAATTACATTACCAGTTACTATGAACCACGTATTATTCTTGTTAACCAATTTCCAGTTTGCCTATATGGTCTGTAGCGTGAACATCCTTCTCACCATCTCTCCTAAATCAGTTCCCCTCAAATCATTCTTTTTTCTGATAGTTGTCATCCCTACGTCCTTAGGTTTACGAACAATGTTTGCTAAAAACCTCACCTGATATATCTCAACATCCAATTTTCACAAAAGCTTCCACTTCTTTGATATTGCACTCAAAATACCAAAAAGTGTGGTAATGATCAAACTAATTTTACCTCAATAGTATGTTTCATTTTGTGGAATGCCTCTTGAAAATGGTTCTCCTTTGGACTGGAAGAAAATGTGGAAAAATCTCCAGCAAATAAAGTAGGAATTTCTGATTTGGGTTCTGGTCGCCACTGGAGGTTGCTTGCAGCAATTAACATGTGAGGTTTAATGATATCTTCATTAAGATCTATCCAAAATTTGATTGCCAGTAAGTTATGGCATTCATCTGACAAATAGGCCAAAGGAGCAAGACCTATAATGAGAATAAACAAAAACCCCATTTGATACAAATTCAAAAAATACAAATGTACATGAAATAGTCTAGCCAAGTCAATATTATACTGTTATTTAAAGAATAAAGTGAAATTTTAACTGTTCCTATGGGGAAATTTTAGGAAGTTTTTCATGTTAAAATAAAATATTTGATATTTAGAGAACTTATTTAAGGCCACCATTTGTTTACTAAAAGAATATTGATCCTCTCGGACTTCCGACTCAGATGGAGGAATAGGTGGAAACACTGTGTCTCCTCACACAACCAAGTTTAAAGACAACAAAGTTTTACTAACAAAAACACAACCAAAACACAGAAAATTTAACTGTACAGAAGTCCGACCACAACAAACCATTCAGCCAGACTGGTAAGAGGGGCGGAGCCAGCGGCTGGTGGAGCGGGGTTGTGCAGAAAAAGGTGGCCAGACAAACTCAGGTACGCAGGCAGTGGTTGGCAGATCCCAGGCGTGGGGTGGCAATAAGCAGACCCAGTGAAGGCACAAGGCGGCTGGCTGACTGCGATCACACATTCGCGCACAGATAAACCAGTCAAAGGAGTGAGCAGTGAGACAAACTTTGCAGGCTAGGGCCCCAGTGATGGGAATTAAAGCCTAAAAGCACCAATTGGAAAAAGCACCAATCTGGGCACTTTTGGGGTCAAGGTGCCCAGAGAAGCTTCCAGGCTCACAGAGAGTTCATTGGAGAGACCCACAGGGTCCTGGAGGGTGCACAGGTCAACACACCCGGGAGCCGGCACCAGGGGGGGCCAGGTTTGCTTTCGGGAAGCAGCAGAGGGGACTGAAATCCGAGAGCAGAACAAACGCCATTACCCCTCTCTGACCCTGCTCCCACATACAGCGTCACAACCCAGTGACTGGGTCATCCCACCCTGGTGAACACCTAAGGCTCCACACCATCATATGTAACAGGTTTGAACAGACCAAAACATTATGGCTCAACAAGAACAGCTCAAAGCCCTAGAGCCAATACATCTAAGCAACCAAGAGACAGCCAACTTATGAGATGCACAGTTCAAACCACTGGTGATCAGGATGCTCACAGAACTGGTTGATTTTAGTCACAAATTAGAAAACAAATGAAGGCTAAACTAATTGAAATGAAGGGAAATGCACAGGAAACCAATAGTGATGGAAAGGAAACTGGGACTCAGATCAAGGGAGTGGACCAGAAGAAATAAAAAAATGACCTAACAGAAAAGGATGAAGAAACAAAAATTCAAAAAAATGAGGAGAGGTTTAGGAACCTTCAGGACATCTTTAAATATTCCAACATCCGAATTATAGGGGTACCAGAAGGGGAAGAGGAAGAGCAACAAGTGGAAAACTTATTTGAACAAACAATAAAGGAGAACTTCCCCAATCTGGCAAAGGAAATAGACTTCCAGGAAGTCCAGGAAGCTCAGAGAGTCCCAAAGAAGTTGGACCCAAGAAGGAACACACCTGTGCAGGCCTGACCCTGCACAACCATCCTAGCCCAAGTCCCCATGGCATTGACTCTGCCTCTGCACTCCATGCAGCTTCTCCTGGGTCCACCCCTACTGTCTTTTCTCCCTCAAAGGCACCGGTCTTGGGCAGGACTTCTCAATAAATCTGCACAGAAATCTCCGAGTCTATTTCCTAGGAACCCAACCTAAGAAGTGATGTCTGTTATTTCATTTTATATCAGAGGGTTTGTAGTAACAAAACAGACTAACAATATAATAGTCTCTGTTTTAAGCCCAGCTCTCCAATGCTGGGTTTGGTATGTTGTGTCAGCAAGAAGTACAAGAAAAAACATACACTTTAGAAGCTGAAAGACTGGTTCACATCCCTTTACAGAACTGTGACACTGGCAGGTTATTTATCGTTTTGAGCTCCAGTTTCCCTGTCTGTACAGGGGGATGATATGAGCAAATGAACTGCATTACTAAGATGACTTGACAGACTTGTATAAACCTGAAGTTTCTAACAATTACTCTCTCTACCACTGTGTTAGAAGGAGCCCTGTCTTTGAAGAAACCACAGTATTAGAAGCTTTAGGGGGCTAGGAAGGAGGTTCAAAAATGGAGACAAGACTCATGAGCCATGTGATGAGTGTTAAAACAGCCAAACACACAAAATGCCACAAAAATGGAGAAGGAGGCTCTAACCCAGACCAAAAGCATCTGGCTCAGAGAAAATGGCTCAGAGAATGGATTAACATTTTCTGTTAACCCATCTGACCTGGGTTAACAGAAAATGTGGAAGCTGAATAATGAATAGGAAATTCATTAAGATAGGGAGGACAAAGGGCCTTCTAAGCAAAGGAAAAGCATTATTAAAGGCAGGAGGTACTAAATGCTACTGTGTGTCAGGAACATGAAGCCAGGGTTTAGTTTAGTTGTCTGTGGGGTGGCTTATGGCAGGGAGTTGAAGAGTTTCCAGGCATATAAATGAGTTTGGGTCTCCCTTTCTAAGGGACACAGTAACAAGAAAGAGTATAAGCTAGGAAATATGATTAGATTGGGTGTTAGATAACTAGTACTGCCAGCGTTGGTGGCACTTTGAAACTCTGACAGAATTTTATTACTCTAAAACTTAACATCAAACTAAATTAAAAAAAAACAAATGTTCACCAAAAACATATTAATGAGGAATATGCTAATATAAAACTTAAAAACTGGTGATTAAGGGAAAAAACAGAACACTCTGGACTGAACCAAGCACAGAGGTTCAGATTTTGAATCCCCTTCCCCACAAAACTGAGAATTCTGTTACCCTTAAATTTGAATGGCAAATAGAATGGGTATCCTTATTCTTTTTCTCTTCTGTTCAGAAATAATGAAAATGGCTGTGGGAAAAAGCAGGTGACCTGGGTTAACAGAGGTGAATGGTCCAGAGTTCAGGGTGTTAATGGGTTGAACTGGGTCCTTCCAAAACAGGCTGAAGTCATATTCCCCAGAACCTGTGATGTGACCTTATTTGGAAGTCAGATCTTTGCAGATATAATCGAATTAAGATGAAGTCATTAGGGTGGGTCCTAATCCAATGTCTTCATAACTAGGGCACATTTGGATACAGCTTAGCACACAGAACATTCATTCTATGAATCTGCACAAAAATCTTTGGGGTGATATGTCTACAAGCCAAAGATTGCCAGAAACCACCAGAAGCCAGGAGGCCTGGTGCAGATTCCCCCTCACAGCCTTACAAGGAACTAACCTTGCCAACCCCTTGGTCTTAGATTTCTACCCTCCAGAACTGTGAGACAGCAAATTTCTATTATTTAAACCACCCAGTTTGTGGTGCTTTGTTGCAGCACATAGCAAACTGATTTACTGGATTTCTCACTGAATTAGGGAAGGTGATCTAGAACAGAGATACTACCTCCCAGGGGTATGAAATGTACAGTGGGTAGGAACTTAAATGCCAAGCCCTCACACAGGAACTGAGAGCAGAAAAAAGGTGGTCCAGAATAGAGTAACAAAAAAGTTAAGAATTATATGGGGTCCCAGCCAGTTTCCCACCTTTTCTTCCCCATGACACTGGTCACACCACTATAACTTGGGACCATTAGAACTAATACTCTCAACTTCCAGGCAAGATGGAGGCGTAAGTAAACAGAGCTCACCTTTTCACACAACCACAGCAAAAATTACAACTAGATTAGAAAACAAATATCCCCCAGAACTGTCAGAAAATCAAGGTGTATGGAAGTCTGGCAACCAAGAAATTAAAGAAGCCATATTCATCCAGACGGGTAGGAGGGACGAAGACACGGAGACATGGAGAGATGCGGAGACATGGGCAGTCCCGTACTCACACGTGGTGGACACAAACTGGGAGGGATACCTTGGCAGCTAGGGATCCCAGCCCCACACCAGACCACTCAGCCCAGGCTTCCAGAGCCAGGAAGATAAACCCCTATAACTTCTGGCTGTAAAAATTAGCAGAAGAAACAGGGATGGCAGAAGAAACAGCAGGACTCCCAGGAGTCTCCTTTAAAAGGACCCACAATGGACTCAGGACTTATGCAGATTCACTCCCTCTAGGCTTCAGTACCAGGGCAACAGCTGGAAGGGCACCAGTGGCATACTGGAGAAACTGACACACCTGGCACCTATGCAAGTGCTGGAAGACAGGTTCTTTCTGAACAAATCTTCAAAGTCCAGGTAGTGGCACTGTCCCCTTTCTGACTCCTCCCACACACAGAGCCACAGAGTGGCAACATGGATTGTCCTGCCCTGGCGATTACTAAAGGCTCCACTCCATCCAACCTAACAGGTGCATTTCTCTGCAACAGGCCACACTACTAAGACAGGGAATCAAAGCAGCTCTACCTAATACACAAAAACAAATACAGGGAGGCTGCCAAAATGAAAAGTCAAAGAAATAAGGTCCAAAAAGAAATAAGGTCCAAATGAAAGAACAGAACTCCAGAAAAAGAACTAAACAAAATGAAGATAAGCAATCCTTCAGATGCAGAGTTCAAAACAATGGTTATTAGCACGCTCAAGAAATTCATTGGGTAATCCAACAGCATAAAAAAGAATGATGCAGAAGTGAAGGTTATGCTAAGTGAAATGAAGAAAAATATACAGGGAACCAACAGTGGAATGGATGAAGCTGAGAATCAAATCAGTAATTTGGAACATAAGGAAGAAAAAAACACTCAATCAGAGCAGCAAAAGATAATCTTCTGGCCAAGATGGAGGCGTAGGTGGAAACACTGTGCCTCCTCGCACAACGAAGTTTAAAGATAACAAAGTTTTAGTAAAACGCAACAACAACCACCACAACAACAAAACCCGCAACCAAAACACAGAAAATTGAACTGCACAGAAGTCCGACAACGAACCGTTCAGCCAGACCGGTAAGAGGGGTGCAGCCAGTGACTAGCGGAGCAGAGTTGGGCAGGAAAACTTGGCCAGACCGACTCAGGCGTGCTGGTGGCAGTTGGCAGATCCCAGATGTGGGGTTGCGACAGGCAGACCCAGTGAGG